TTTATTGCAAACGGCATACTTTTCATTTCGTCACATGGATGACAAATCTAAACAGGTGTTAAATCACTCTGCCTTTCATATCTGAAGGCCAGATGAAAAAAAAATCTAGGAAGCTGAAATATATGTCAGGAACATTGTAAAGTACATTACATATTATTGGTAATAAAGGTTGTCTGTCATTAAGTTAAAAAAATATGAACAGGAACATAACTCCAAGTATACATGTTGTGTCCAAATATATTTATAACTGATTTAGACCAACTGACATTAACTGAGATTTTACAATGTATTCATCTCAATACATATGGATTCGTTGGGGGCCATAAAAGATAGATATTGCCAAATTACCTGGGGGGCCGTATTAAACCGGAACACGGGCCGCAATTGGCCCGCGGGCCGGACTTTGGACATGCCTGGCTTAGAGGGAACACTGCTCTGAATGTAATCACCCCAAAGGTCCTGATCCAAATGTAGTGGCTGGCAAGACTCCAGGCTTGGCTGCTAGGGCTTCTCTTTGATATATGGAGATTTAGATGTCAATGCTGCAAAGTGCTGAGTGCACGGATCTTGATCCAGCAAAGCATTTATGAACATGTTTAGCTTGTAAGCACGTGAATAGTTTCATGAAATCAATGGATTACTTACACACCTGAAGTTAAAAATATATTTACAATTTTTTTTTTTTTTTTTTTTTTAAATCAGGACCAGAGTGGATAGCATCTTTCAGGATTAAGTCCTTAAATGATGAGGATCAAATTCAGTTCCAATTCCCTTGTAAATTTGGAGTAAATTCACAGAAATCAGTGGAATTATCCTGGTTTGATCCTGCTCAAAGTGAAAGCACACTTTGGTCTACAAGTTTAATTCACTTCTTCTGATTTTATATTGGTGATGGTGTATCTCCATGGATGTTACTTCTGGTTTACATCGGCATAAGTGAGAGTGAATCAGGTCTGTAGGTTGTAAATTTTGCAGAAAAATCCCTTTGAACAACTCTGACAATTTTATACCAATCTGTGTTAGTAGAAACACTATTAATTGTAATATGAAAAATACAAAGGGCCAGTTTCTCATTTACACTTAAGTACTTTTATCGACATGCTGGTGATCAAACTTCCAAGGTTCGATTTAGTGGGTCTAGTAAAGACCCATTAAATCGAATGCTGAGGTTGTCCCCATCAACCGTCATACTCCTACTTGCTGTTGCGAGGAGTAAGGGAAGTCAACAGAAGAAACTCCCCCATCAACCTCCTGCTGTGAGGCCACCCCAGAAAAATCGATGCAAGGTACACCGACTCCAGCTAAGCAATTCATGTAGCTGGAGATGCTTAACTAGCAGCGATATTCTCTCCCACTGTAGACCTGGCCTTACAATGGGCATAATTTAGATATATACACACTTTCTCAAAGGCCTATTTGCACTACCAGAGTAGACTAAAGAACATTTGTGTAAATAAGAATCTGGCTCATATTCATCATATGGAAATGGGAAAACATAACTTGAAACCTTTGAGGGTACTGAATCAGTCATTACAATTTCATTACCAACCACCAAATGCACACTGTATTTTTTTCAAATGAACACCCTCCACCCAAATATTTACTTTTCCCTTAAATAGGAATGATTGACATCTTAGCTTTTAGTATTTTATTAATTGTCAAAGCAACTTCTATGGTCTATGCATAAATTATGTTCTAGAACTGAGAGAAACTCAAGAAGTTGTTGGGCAATTTTTGTTGTTTAACCACATGCAAAAAAATCTCAGTATGCTTGGAACCAGTGTCATAGATTTATCCTTGAAATAGAACACATGCTCTTTGAAACTCTTCACTGAGTTAATATTAAGTTGTTTTTCTGCATTGTAAAATAAACCTTATCAAAATGAAATTTAATAGTTGGGTATTAGGGAACCATAAGAAAAGCAGAAAAGCTATTTGTTATCTTTATATTTATAGCATTTTGAGATGCATATTGAGATGAAAAAATAAAACTTGATTGCCATAAACCACAGCCAGCTACTGGACAGTTTAACTGCATATCTGTTCTCTGTAGCTATTATTCCTAAATGTACTGGGATAGAGTTAAGATAATGGGGGCTGGTGAGTCATTTCATATGGTGACATATAGCATGGATTTCAGTACACAACAGATGGCTCTTACTCTACAATATACTTCACTCTGTCAGAAATACAGTTTTTCATCTTCTGTATTATGATCAGTAATGTATTATAAAATTTCAACAGGAAGTATAAATACGAGAGAGAGACATATGGCTCTTCTGGTATGAAATATACATGTCCGATCTTACACAAATATTTCCACTGGCAGGTCTTCATTTTCGATCCTAAAAATGTTTGTGCCGTTTTGTTATACCCTATTAAACAGCCACTTTGAGCCACCTCCGTTGTGAGGCTATGGTCCAGTCTCCCTTTCTGCAGAAGCAAATTGGGCCTCCACAATGAACAGCAGGCATCAGTCAGAGCAGTTCTTCCTCTAGCTACCTGGTTTGAGTCTGCAGCCGGGTAGTGTGAAGCTGAAGAGTGCTCACACTTGCTGCTGAAATGGAATGGTGGGTGCTAATGCTGCAATTGTAAACTGTATCCAGGTAAAGGAGGGAGCCTTTCAGGCAGGAATGGCAACAGACTTCTCTGGGCCCTGTGCAATGTGTGTGTGTGGGTGGAGGTTGGTTCCGGCTGTTCCAGAAGGGATGGCGTCTTGGGCAGAAGAGTACGGGGTTAGGGACATCAAGCCCTCATGCCTCTTGGGCTTGAGCAGTGATTTAAAGGGCTTGCGGCTCTGGCTGCTACTGCTGCTGCAGTAGCAGAAGTGACGGGTCACAGCCATGGGGCCCTTTTAAATTGCCAGCCCCTGCGGCAATTGTCCTCTTTGCCCCCTAGTTGGGGGGGCCTGCTCTCGGGCACACTTTAGATTATTAAAACGCATGGCTGAACAATTTTCAAAGAAGCTTAAGAGAGTTAATCAGGTCAATGAGTTTTTGGTGCCTAACTCTCCCAGGCTTCTTTGAAAATCTAAGATTATATATTAAATAGAAAAAACTATGTTAAAAGAACATTATTTAGGTTATAACATTGAACTCTTGAATGTTAGGAAATGCTGGATTTATTGTTACTTGTGCAAACTTAATTCAGCCCGTGTGTGGTTTGAACTTGTGTCCTGAACAATGCCAGGATCCTATGTTAAAAATAGTGTTATCATATAATTAAAGAACATGCTATAATGTATATGCAGTGCAGAAGAAGGCAGAATTAAGGTTGCACAGGCAACTGCAAACTTGGCATTTCCCAACTTTCAATTGCTGGAGTATGCAACATTAATAATATTCTTGTAGCATATTTATTTTATATATAATTATAATACGTGCATCGTAAAAGCTCCCTCAGCATGCATCTTAAGCAAAAGTCATGGGCATGATGAAGAAATTGCATGGCAAAATTCTATGACCTGTGTTATGCAGGAAGTGAGATGAGATGATCATAATGCTTTCTTCTCACAGTCATGTCTACATAGCAGCAGCAGCCTGGGCCCTGCACCTTCAGTATCACATCATAAGTGGCTGCCACCTGTGCTGCAGGACTTACCACATACAGTACTAGCTAGCTACCAGTAGCAGCTGTGGATGGACCAATGGGCCCAAGCAGTAGATCTAGAGTATGACCAAGGTGCTGAACGTGGCCTATCAATCTCTTTCTTTTCTCCACAGAGGGAACTGAGGAACTTTCTTCCACATGTGGTGCCCTCTGTTGAAAGCAGGTGATGGGTCTGAGGTTAGATTTATGGGGTGGAGGCGAGATTTATGGGAGGTGGGGGATCCTTGCCCAAAGTAGTGCCTTTAGAGAGTGACCTGATCCAGAGAGATCATACGTTGGGCACTGGGGTGGAAAGGAGCCTAGATCATCTTTTTTTCTCCCCTCTCCCCGAATGCTGCTCCCAGCTGTTTGCAATAAAGCGTGTGCTGCTGCTCTGAGCAGTAGGAGCAGCCTGGCCTTAGAGTGCTGGTGTTAGTTATTATTTCGGCAGGCTGCCAATGGTTTCTGAGGAATGCCATCAAGAGAAAGAAAATAGTGATTTTTTAAATGGTTTACAACAACAAAGGTCAAATGGAACTTCACGGAACAAAGGCTAGGCCCTTCTTCACCCTGAGAACATGCCCCCCGTTGAATGTCAACTGCTAGTTGCAAACTGTGGAGATTTAAGAGCTTCTCAAAGAAAAGAATCTTTTATAGTGAAAAGTGTATAGAGGTCATTTCCAGATCCCCTCTATAATCTATACCTCTAGTCACATTTTTAGACTAATGACCAGTGCTATCTTTATGCTTCATGGGACTCTATGCAGTGGTATTACATTGATGCCTCTCTGCCTGATAGCAGCCTGTGGGAATCAATTTTTTAGAGATATGATTTTATAATGTTCAGCAACACACTAATGAAATATTTTTAAGACACGTTTTAAACATTAACACCCCAGTGGTGCCCCAAATTTTCAGGTGCCCCATGCATATAGGTAAGGATGGCCCTGCTAATGACCAGTGATATTTTATTTGAAAACACAAAACGAGTTTGGATCCTAAGAACCCCCTTCCTAGCCCTAGTCTTCCATATATCTGAAACAGCCCCGTCAAGGACCTTTTATAATCTATGGGAACATGTTACAATGTTAAAAGAGATCTGCATATTTTGCATATAGATGCCACGACAAACAAAGGTCAACCTGAACTGTGTCTGTTCCTGTAAGCAGACTCCAGAGCAAAGCATGTATTGTTTATAAGCCTTCTCTAGTGCTTCAGAAGAAAAAAAAACATATTTTTGAAAGTACAAAGAGAAATCTGGCCAATATTTAGCACTGCATTAATGGATTCTCTGAAGCGCCTAGTGAACAGCACTTCAGTTCTGCAATGGGGATAGTGATATGGGAAAAAAACCCTACAAATGCCAGATGAGCTCCAGGATATATTCCTTCTTCACAATTTTATTGTCTTACCTCCGATTCTTTGTAATAGCGCTCAGAAATTTCGTCGCAGGCGATATCGATGAAGCAGACTTCTCGCTCAAGGTCTTTGGCTTCGTTGTCAAAAATCTGCAAGATTGAAAGAAACTAACACTTCAACAGGACAGTTCCAAAGCATTGTGGTCACAAAGCATTGTGAGGGGCTGAGCCAATGACCTGTGGTGCAGCAGAGCACACAGTGCTGAAGGCATCTTGACTCATGCTTAAGAGTGCTTGCAGCCGCACTCCATGGTCCACATAATACCAAGCCATCCACGGTGCATCCACTTCAGAAGCACTGTACACATGCCAGAATACAGCAATGAGGCACAGAGGAGAGAGTGGGTGTGGCAGAGGAGGCAAAAAACAAGCAATACAGTCCTAAGCAGTATCCAACTGCTACTAGAGGAGTGTGTAGCAGCCATTGTTTTCGGTATGTAACCACTCCTGTTTCACAGCAGGAAGCATTGGAGTGTACTTCACAGTATATCCTGCTTAGCGCCCCCTGCTGCTGGTCAGTCCACTCCTTTCCCTGTCTCAGTGCACACCTTCAGAAGAGCCAGCTGCCCCGTTAACACGGGGCAAAGCAGATATTTAGTATGATTATTATTTATGTTGCCTGCTCTAATTCTTGGGCCAAATATCACCATCAAGGGAAAAGCTGACTTTCCAGACTCAAATTCCTATTGCTCTTTCTAGAAGTGTTATTCTACTTTCAGAACAGCGATGAAATATGTCCGCACATATGTACAAAATGAGACAAAGCTTTGACTCTGCTGTGCTACTGAGACTCAGGATTTTGGATAAATCTTACAGATTTAATGGTTGAGGAAACCATAAAGTGATAGGGTAAAGTTCTGCTCTCAAGTGTGTGCATGAAGCTCCTATGGACTTAAATTTTCAAGGACCATGTATTGGCAAGCCAGCTTTCATTTCTGTCCCCAGCACCTACCTACTGGGAGGGGAGTTGCAAATTTGGAACCACAATTATTTGCACATGTAATCTGGGCAATTTCTATGCCTGACTTCCTACAAATCAATTACATGGACATCTCAATATGAGATGTCTGCAATGCGTGGGCACAAATATGCTGGCCAGGTTAAAGTGGTCCTCAAGTCAGGAGGACAATAACTGGCTAGCAACATGCTTTATCTGTGTAGTGCCATTGTCTACAGCTAATGTTTTCAGAAAATATAAATATCCATTGCTTGGAAATTAAATTTCATGAACATACAAAAAAGTTAATTCCATTTCATTTCAGCCCAGTGGGACAATTAATTTGATATCAGGATACAAAATGCCAGCACTGCTCATTAGCCAGACTGCGAGTTTGGTATTTCTGCCAGAAACATATCCTTTCAATATACAATGTTCATAATGAAAGAGGGATGGGAAATGGGCGAATATAAGGGAGGAAGTTGGGTTAGGCCAGTTTGTAAATCCTTAAAAGGTTGCTATTAGTAACACAGTCAAGAAACTTCCTTAAAAATTTATAATTTAATTGGACATTGTCCATTTGGCTGTATACGTGAGCTCTTGCAGCCTCAATCTTCTAGTACAGAGGTGGGCAAAAGGGCCTCCGTGGGCCGAATCCGGCCTACCAAGTGGATGGATCCAGCCACTCCCCTCCCCCAGGCCAATTAGGGCTTGGGGGTGGGGGAAGCGTGCAAAGTTTCCTCTGCCCACCACACGCTCCTGGCAGGGTGGGAGGAGACTTTGTGCACTCCCCTGCCCCCATGCCCTGATTGGCCTGGGGGCAGAAGGGGAAGCACGTGAAGTCTCCTCCCACCCCAGGGTCATGGGCGGCTAGGGGGAACCTCATGGAGGCGAGAGGGCAAAGACGTCAGCCAGTTCCCCACCCCCATACCAATCATAGTTCATGGGTGGGGAAGTAGGGAAGTATCCTGGTGCTGCCCCTTCTGCTTGAAGCCCCGTCCCTTCCAGTGTGGGCCGGGGCCACTTAAAAAATTTCTGAAGTGGTCCTGGGCAAAAAATTATTGCCCACTCCTGTTCTAGTAGAACCTATAAATTGCACATTTTTTTTCTTTCTTTAAAATAATATGAAAGAGGTCAGGTGGACAGATGCCTGGAGGCTGTTTAATTAAATCACTGACCTTTGCTAGTTTTTCAGCCAAGTGAAAGGTTAGAAATGCACATAAAAAAGTCAAGTCTTCAAAGGGTTAAGTCAGGAGAAAGATTATTTCCCGTCCTTTACTCCTCCATCCCACACCAATTTGGCACTTAAACAGACCATTTCCTTAACTCCGTAAGTTGGCTCCATGATAGGCTGGCTCCCCATTACTAGCCTAAGCTGTCATCTAATCATTTCTCCATGTTCCTTTCTTAGACTGTCCTCACAACATTTGCAGATGGAGATTTAATCCCCTAGTTTTATCAGCAGTGGAAAATAAAGAGTCATTAGAGCACAAGATTGATTTCTTTTTTAGGTCTGATTCTCTTATTGTCTCTTCTAGCCAAATACTCCGGGATATTCTTAAAGCCCATAGGGGGGAGGGTTTGATTGCTTTTGCAATCAAAATTAAGAGGCTGGAGAAATTAAAAAGTTTTAAAAAAGATTAAAGCCCACAAAAAGAAACATAAGGCTCCCAATCTGTGCAGCTATATTTGCAAGTGTGCAGAGTGAATGGCAAGAATGCTTTGTGCCCTTAGTAATGAAGAGGAAATTGTAGAAAGGCTGAATGTTAAATATTATGAAAATCTGAAGGATCGTTTTGAAAGAGAGCAAGAGAATGCACACACTTTACTGCAGTATACAAACAGCTGTGCACTTTCATTTTCTAAGAGGGATAAAAATGGCTCAAGAGAAGTTTCCCAGTCAGTCTAAAATCATACCCAAAATAACAGGAGGACAGACAGTAGATTTTAATTGGCTTATTTTGTATCAAGATAAAGTAATTTGTTAAGAAAAGAAAAAGAAAAAAGCAACCCTCCAACAAAACAAAAAACACAAACCAACAAACCAAAAAACCCACCTTGGGACAACATTAATAGAAACTTGTGATACACAAAGAAAGATCACACAGGGGCACTAAAACAAAAACTTGCTGCCTGTCTACACTGGCCGCGAGTTCTTGCACAAGTACACTGACGTTCTAATGTATGAAATCAGTGCTTCTTGCACAAGAACTCTGATGCTCCCGCTCAGGAATAAGCCCTCTTGCGCAACTGTTCTTGCGCAAGAGGCCAGTGTACACAGGCAACATTAATTTATTGCGCAAGAAAGCCCTTTGGTTAAAATGGCCATCAGAGCTTTCTTGCGCAAGAGAGCGTCTACACTGGCATGGATGCTCTTGAGCAAAAGCACATCTCTTGTGCAAATGCATATGCCAGTGTAGACGCTCTCTTCTGGCAGAGTTTTTGCACAAGAACTCTTCCACAAAAGAGTTCTTGCGCAAGATCATGCCCGTGCTTTTCAATTTACCCCCATTTCTTTTCTTTCTACTATATGATGCAAGCTCATCACCTCCTGGAGAACCAAAAGCTTCCGCGGGCCCCCAGGCAAGCTGCAGGGGGCCCCAGTGCTGCACCCCTAGAAGGCGTAGGGCCTCAGGCAGATGGGGCCGGGCCAGAGGCAGCCAGTCCTCAGGTGCCACCCTGATCATGGTGCACCACTCCTCCATGCCTCAGAGCCACCCAGAGTGCACAGTGTGACACTTCGGTGGCAATTTAAAGGGCTTAGGGCTCCAGCCACATCTGCTGCTGCAGCAGCAGCTGGGAGCCCCAGACCTCTTTCAATCACTGGGTCCCAGAGCAACTGCCCCTGTTCTCCCCTTATCCTTCCGCCCGCATCGGCAGATCTGATCACCTCTACAGTGGGAGAATCGAATGTGTCAATATGCACTTGACTGGAGATGTCTCTTCCCCCTCTGGCTAGTGTTAGGGAGGGAGTCAGTCTATGGGGGACAGGGGACATTAACAGCAAAGTTTATTTCTCTCTCTCTCAAGCTATGGAGCTTTTCTCTGCTTGGTTTCTAGCCCAAATCTAGTCCAGGTCATAGTGACTGTCAGTTTCCGCCATCTTACTGCGATCACCTCTGTGTTCACGGCAGAGTTAACCTGAGCGAGTGCGCACTTGACTGCATCCGCTCTGCACTCGCTCAGTGAAGGAGGACTGCTGGGGTCACTTCCCATGGGTTTTTGTGCTTTATACAGAGCTGATCTCTGACCCTCTCAGTGAATTGTGGGTGTACTTGTGTGGCCTTTTAGGCAAACCAGAAAAACCTCTGGGCAGGTATTGGGGGACTCTCATCATTTGAGTGGTTTAACCTGCATCCTACTGCAAAGTGGGAAACCTAGGAAGGACCCAAGAGGGGCCAGATACCTTGGGCATAAAGCACCATAAAGTCTGGGTGAAGGAGGCAGTTGTGACCTGAGGCACTGGACGGGGGTGCAGGAGGTGGATTGTAACCTAGGCCCGGGGGATTTGTGTGTGAATGGGAACTAGCCAAGGACAACAGCCAAGTGGAAGCCCAAGTGAATTCTGTAATGAAGATAAGCCCTTAGGGCATGTCTACACTATGGAAAAGATCGACCTTCCGGAGGTCACTCTTCTAACATTTGATTTAGCGAATCTAGCGTAGACCCCCTCTCCCCCCCCAAAATCAAATGCCGAGGGCAGCTGCTGCCAGTGGCCTGTACTCCTCATTCTATGGGGAGTAAGGGAAGCCGAAGGGAGCATGTGCTCCTATTGGCCTCACACAGTGCAGATGCGGTGGCGGCTCGGCTTAAGGTAAGCCAAATACAGCTACACATTTTGCATAGCTGGATGGCGTACCTTAAGCCGACCGGTCTGGTCTAGTGTAGACCAGGCCTGAGAGACTAAAGCAATCAAGTGGCCAGTGAGGAAAGCTGACCTCAGTATTTTCAAAAAGAAGCAAGGTTCTAAAATCAGTATGTTTCCTTTGGAGGCTAGTTAGTCCTATCCATTGTCTGAGTCTGGGTAAAGGAGGAGCTCCAAGTCATCTTCACTTTTTGTGCATTAGATTCACACTGTCTACAATTAATTGTGCAAGTAAATGAAAAAAATAATATCTTCAAAATAGATTTGCTTCCAAAAGAGCAGGCCAGT